TGTGCCTTGAGGTATGTGTGAGCAAACTGGTATAATTTGAAACTATCCTCGTAGGTCTTCAATATCCTCTTGAGTATCAAGTGTATCTAATTTTCGACCTGCTGAGCTTGCAGCTAAAATATACGAGAGGAAAGCTTGTAAAAAACCGCTCGCCATATGCTGCGACGTCCACTGTTCATTTTTACTGTTGCTTGCTGACGTGGTTGTTCCGCTACTCACTCTCCCTGCTTCGAATTGTGAGAGTGAAGTGAGAAGAAGGGAGAGCTGGAACCAATAAGTGAGCACTCGCCCGACCACTCTGGTTAATCGCTTTCTGCAACTCTGGTTCAGTAGTTCGGGTTACAAATAATACAAGCAATGCAAAGCTTAACATGCAAGGATTTATACCCGACTGCCTGCGATGCTCAGATAATTTTGCTACACTCCTTATCCCTGAGCCAGAGTAGGCGTGGCATTTGAACATGGCACGGAATTGGTTACTCGTGGAATATTCCAGTCTGGGACAACTGTCATCTTGTTCTGTTGGACAGAGACACGACAACAATTGTGTCAAGATGAAAATATCTCACCAGAAGCATAGACACCTTCAGGTTAAAGACACATGGTACGCTCACACACATTGAGGGTGTATGAGACTATCAGCCCCCCAGCTGTCGATGTGTCGTGGTCCCCCCGCCCAAAACTGCACGGGGTCAGAGTACGGGGCCGTGGGAAAGTCGTAATTCCTTGCTACACCGCCCATTTCGCCCTCACGTTTATGCTAACACCATCCGCGCGGCGCGGTCGCGTGCAGCTCTCTTGGCTTTTTGCCAAGTCCTGTAATTGCGCTTTGGAATACAAGTAAAACGCAATTTCTTTATGCGGATAACATTTTAGGTGCTGCAAAATAAGAACCGAAGATGATGACGAGGGCTAGAACTCAAGAGCAACTGTGCTGCTTCTGCAATATCCCTCGGAGGCCGCGCATTTCCACGAAACATGAAATAAAAACGGCCAAAGCGTCCCACTGTTCTTTACTTACAAGGGAACCCCAACAGGTCGATCCGGCCATTTGCAATGAGATGTATATATGTGGACGTGTCTTGAGCCGCTGAATCCAAATCTGCCCTCCGAATTTGCGGAACGATTCTCTGAAGGGAGTTACGGACCATTTAATCTTTGCTCTGTTTGCACAAGTTGAGAGAGTTGTTGAGAGTTGTTTGCACAAGACTTTTATTACGAGGATAACCGTTTCTAGAGCTTGCATCAAGGAATGAGGATCTTACGGTTTAAGAGCACATGTGGTATTCTTCCACGAAATGATAGAAACAATACAAGTTCTCACAATGAGCACAGCGAATGAAAAAGTACTCTGCACACACGGTACAGTTACAGTTCTCCACCAGTCCAGAGGGGAAGCAGTACTAAATTTTGTTTTTTTGAATTTTGAACAATATTCTGCTCTACGTGCTCTGTGATCTACGACCCACTCCTTTACTGCAAAGCCATTACTCATCGCTGACGGCCACCTAGGAAAGCAACTTTTCGTGGTTATGCAGGTCCGTTGCACGCAATCCATATAATCTTTTGTTTACGACAGCATGATACGCATTCAATGCGCGCTCTGTGGACCACGCCGCGCGAATTGTATACGAATCACGATCAACAAATCCGTATTATTCAGTTGAACAAACGGATCATCTAGTGCATGATTTTTTGTTTACTTTCTCCTATTCATTCTATAGGCCAATCCTTAGTATGCTCGTACAAGACGTGGTCCATGAAATAATTTAGTACATACTAGTTTAGCAAAGACTTCCTGTGGAAAGAGCACTATATGCTTGAATTTGTTTGCCCCTCAACTTTGGATTGGTTTGCTGTTCAACTCTTTGCCAGCAAATACAGACAATTTACAACATTGATAATAACGAAAAAAATATAAGGTGCAGGATCCTGAATCCTATGGAAAGCACGACTCGCATTTTTTATGGAAAAGTTGTTAACAGACAAATTCCTGGCCCTGATGCAAAGGAGAGTTGGCCAGCCCAGATTTTGCCATAGTAAATAATTGACTTACTTCATAATTGCTCTCTAAACCAGATTCTTCCACCCAATCTCTAAAAAAAGCGCTCGAGGGGACAGCTTTGCCATTTATGCGTATCGGCCGCTGTTGTGTCGCCTCAGAAAGCGCGCGTGTCCCAGGCCGAAAAGTAAATAACCCGTTGTTGTTCATGCATACGTGTTAATACAGTGCGTTTCACCAGTATACGTCCACCCATCAATTTACTGAAAACTTTTCTTGAAGCGATGGTGGAGTATTGTTGTGTACACTGTGAGATTCGTCGTATAAAAAAACACTGGAAAGCAGGTGTTCAGTAAGTTAGATCTCCCATGGAATTTTTTATAGGCATATAACCAATTTTCGGCCGTTTCAGGCTATACGTCCACTCTCATCAACAGTTTATTTCTATGTTCAACAAGACAACAACAGCAAAATCAGTAATCAATCGGTGCTCCTTGTTTGGAAGCCAGCTCCATGAGTCGATGAGGCATGCTTGCTGATAGGTTCTGGAGCACTGAGGCGTCAATGTTCTTCCACGCGTCGATGACTGCACATCTCAGCTCGTTGATGGTCTCAAACTGCCTACAGTTTTCATAAACCTTTCGAGCAATGATGCCCCAGAGGTTCTCCATAGGGTTGAGATCAGGGCTACACGCGGGCCACTCCATAACGTCAACTCTATGCTGCCCTGAAAAACGCACTCCGATGTTGACCTGCTCGCGTGGACACTTGCATTATCCTGCTGGAAAATCGGTTTTCCTCTTCGCCAGCGACGGAGGAAAGGCAACAAGTTGGACTCAAGTACTTCCTGATATTCACGCGAGTCCATTCGGCAGGAGATGAATGCTAGTTCCAGCTTTCTGTCCCAGCAGTAGGCTCCCCAAACCATAAGAGAACCGCCACCGAAGTTACGTCGGCTGAACCGCATAGGATCTTTCCTCAAATCACGCCAGTAACATCTAGCGCCGTCTGGCCCGTCCAGATTGAACTTCTTCTCGTCAGAAAAGATTACCTGAACACAAGTTCCTCTTTACTGGTTGCACTACAATAAAGAGATAGCGTTTCCTTTTATCACCACACCTGCTTCCAATCCGTTGTGATGTTCTTCCTAGCAAAATCGAGACGAGCCGACTTGTGAGCGCAAGTAAGTCGTGGCGCCTTCTGCATAACTTCTCTCACTATGTTGCTGTTGCGTCTAATAGCCCTCCAGACTGTCGACTTCGAAGCAGAAAGCTTCAATTCCGCACGAATTTGGTTGACGCTCAACGTGCTGTTGGATGCCTTCTTCCATATTTGCCGTTCTTCCCTGGCGGACAGTTTTCGCTGGTGTTTGTTAGCTCCGCCACTGCCGTAAGTCTCAGGATTTCTGAGGTAGGAGCAGACGACGCAGTGAGACCTGCCAATTTCCTTGGCAATCCGCCGATTGCTGAGTCCAGCCTGGTGTAGGGCCCGAATTGTTGTCGGGGCCTTTTCTTCCGAAGACAGACGAGAACCGCGTGGCATCACAGTGAGACATGCTCTCGTCTATTTTGATAAGAATATATCACCACGCTGAAACGGGAAGAATTTTTGTGGAGCCGTATATCAAAGGTGGACGTATATAGCGTGAAACGGTGGAAAATTTGTAAAACCCCTGTAGAAATGTTTATGATGGACTTGTTTTTCTGGAATGATGCTTTTCCAGGTTTTTTCATACGTAGAATCTGAAAACGTGCACAACGGAATTTGGATCACAGCTTGAGGACTTTTTTTAAGTAAAATATGGGGTGGACGTATAGTGGTGAAACGCACTGTATCTACATTTCAACAGGAACCCAGTGGAGTTTTTCCTTTCAAAGGGCATTTCCAAGCTGATAACTTGTTGGTTCGAGCGAGCAAAACTCATATAATGTCTAAACAGCTTATGCTGGATTGGATTGAATCCTGCGTGGCCGCTCCAGGGTCCCCCAGTCGACGCTCCTCATGGTCGACTCGTGGAGTTCCTTTAAAGATCATGAATCCATCGATCTGCTCTGCCACCTAATAAATGTGTGAAGGTACTCAATATACCACCAGGTGCTACGTCCTTGATCCAACCTTTAGACGTGTACTTCTTCTTACCGTTCAAAGCTATGTATAAACGCTTCACTTCTTATGTATTGGCCCATAATATAATTTTTTCTATACATCAAAGGGACTCCATTCTCCGTCTTTTATCTCTTATCTATTCTCAATTTTGCTCACCTAGATTTAAAAACTTCTTATCCTATTCTTGGTACTCGGCTGGATACTTCGATGCACATCCTGGTGAGTTCGAAACACCTCTTCAGTACTGCTTCCCCTCTGGACTGGTGGAGAACTGTAACTGTACCGTGTGTGCAGAGTACTTTTTCATTCGCTGTGCTCATTGTGAGAATTTGTATTGTTTCTATCATTTTGTGGAAGAATACCACATGTGCTTAGGATTGTCATTCCTTGATGCAAGCTCTAGAAACGGTTATCCTCGTAATAAAAGTTTTCAAAAGGAACCAAAAATGGAGAATCGGCCGCCTTCCGTTGGCAAATAATCAAAGAACTAGGTAAAATGGCCAAAAGGAAGCTTTTTGAGGGTTCATACCAAGTGTTTTGCATGCACTTATCGTTCTCAACTTGTGCAAACAGAGCAAAGATTAAATGGTCCGTAACTCCCTTCAGAGAATCGTTCCGCAAATTCGGAGGGCAGATTTGGATTCAGCGGCTCAAGACACGTCCATATACAGGGGGGGGGGCAAAAAAGTCACTTTTCTTCATTGACTTTCGAGGCGCTATAAGTTACACTTTATAAATTCTAATCGGACATTTCTACCAAATTATTGGATCTGGACGAGCGCCATCGAGAGATTCTGGCACGCGACCGCGATGTGGTGCCTGAGATCAGCGAGATAGTCGATTTCTCCGCCACCGTAGACCACCCTATTGAACTCCGCCCGAACCGGGAGGGGATTCAGGTCAGGTGACCTACTTGGATATTCCATCTTCTTTAGGTACTCAGCCCCTTCCATTCCAAGTAGGCGAGAGTTTCTCCAACGCCCTTCGATTCCACGTGGTGGCACCCAATGCTGTAGCAGTACAAAGTTTCCAAGAAGGTAGGGCACGACATGTGGGGAGGATATTCTTCTCGAGTTGCTCGATGTAACCGCCAGCGCTCACCTTCAGTCCGGGGTCCACGAAGAAAATATTGGTCTTTCCATTCCAGGTACGTCCGGTCCCACCATCAACTGGCGCCTTGGCGACTGAGGTGAAGATGATGTCCTAGACCGTAGCGACGTTGACGGAGCTGCTCGATGATGGAGGTCTTCCAGATCGAGAGTACTGGCTCTCCAGGTAGCTATCCATGGGTGACTCCACACTAGAAGTTTCGCAGCTGTTTGGAGGTGACATGAATTCCAAAGGTCTTCTCCAGTCAGGCTGCGACTGGAGATGACCTCATATTTTGGTGTACATGAAGGTGATGGGCGAGGGCCAGCTCCTGCTTATCGAGGAACATCTTGGGTATCTTCCGCCCTGGTACTCGTATCCACATCTTCTCTCTGGGCTGCAAAAACTTTGCTGATATGTGACTCGGTCGAAGTGACTTTTTTTGGTCCCCCCCCCTGTATAATCGGCTATGTCCGTGTGTGTGTATGTGTGTCTGTGTGTGCGTCTGTCTGCGCGGGGGCAGTGTCGCCGTGCAGCTCTCTTGGCTTTTTGCCAAGTCCTGTAATTGCGCTTTGGAATACAAGCAAAACGAAATTCCTTTATGCGGATAACATTTTAGGGCTGCAAAATAAGAAGCGAACATGA